GGGCTGTGGTGGCCCTCGAGGTGTTGGTGGCCCTGGCAGGGCTGTGGTGGCCCAGCCCCTCCGGAGCTGCCATGGTGCCCCTTTTGGGCTCTGTTGGGCTTTGCTGTCCTCTCGTGCCCGCCCTGCAGAGGCACAGTTTGTGCCCAGCAGCAGGGCAGGGGGCTGGTGCCAGGCTGGCTCCCTGGGTGCCAGGCTGGCTCCCTGGGTGCCAGGCTGGCTCCCTGGGTGCCAGGCTGGCTCCCTGGGTGCCAGGCTGGCTCCCTGGGTGCCAGGCTGGCTCCCTGGGTGCCAGGCTGGCTCCCTGGGTGCCAGGCTGGCTCCCTGGGTGCCAGGCTGGCTCCCTGGGTGCCAGGCTGCCTGGTGGTTGCCCTGGGCTGGAGGGAGTGAATCCCTGCTGGCTTTGGGGCTGCCCTGGCACGGTGGGGGAAACGTCCCTCAGGAAAAGGGAAGGGGCTGGGGTGGGGATGAGCTTCCCAAGGGGGAGCTCCGTCATTTCCTTCGGCTTCCGTGGGGGAACTCGGCTTCCCAAGGATGAATTCCATGGATGAATTCCATGGATGAATTCCATGGGTGAACTCGGCTTCCCAAGGATGAATTCCATGGGTGAATTCCATGGATGAATTCAGCTTTTCAAGGATGAATTCCATGGATGAATTCAGCTTTCCATGATTTCATTCAGCTTCCCATGGATAAATTCAGCTTTTCAGGCTCTCCATGGGTGAATTCAGCTTCCCATGGGTGAGCTCAGCTTCCCAGGGTGAATTCCATCATTTAATTCAGCTCCCCTTGGATAAATTCAGCTCCCCATGGATTAATTCAGCTCCCCATGGATGAATTCAGCTCTCCCTGGATGAATTCAGCTCTCCCTGGATGAATTCAGCTCTCCCTGGATGAATTCAGCTCTCCCTGGATGAATTCAGCTCTCCCTGGATGAATTCAGCTCTCCCTGGATGAATTCAGCTCTCCCTGGATGAATTCAGCTCTCCCTGGATGAATTCAGCTCTCCCTGGATGAATTCAGCTCTCCCTGGATGAATTCAGCTCTCCCTGGATGAATTCAGCTCTCCCTGGATGAATTCAGCTCCCCATGGATAAATTCAGCTTCATTCCCAGCTGCCATTCCATGCTGTGCCCCCAGCCAGCCGTGCTCCATCCCCACCCTCCCTGAGGAGCCCTCTCCTGTCCCCTGGCAGTGGGACATGTCCCCAGCCCCCCCAGAGAGCAGCAGGAGGTGCAGCAGCTGCCCCAGCTCAGGTGACAGCAGGTGACAGCCACCCCTGCTGCTTTGGTGGCCATATGGCCAAAGGCTGGTGCCTTCAGCTGCCCTAAGCTCCTTTTCCCGGAGGTGCCCTGAGATCCCAGGGGAGCTGTGCAACATGGGATGGATTTATTCTGCTCATCCTCTGCCTTTCTGGTCTGATCACCCTTTATTTATTATTTCCTAGAGAGAACAAGCCAAATGAGTTCTGTTTAACTTCTCCAGAGTCTTTAAAGGTTTTATTCCTGGGAATTTTCCCAAGTTCAAGGCTGCTGGCAGGAGGGAATTGCCTCCTTTAACCCCTTTCCTTTCTCATCCCTGCCCTCAAATGGAGTGGAATAAGCTCTCAGCATGACCAGAATTCCCTCTGGAAGCAAGTTCTGCCTCTGGATTTATATCCCAGGGAAGGGAGCAGCCAAAGGCGAGGGTCAGAAAGCTGAACCTGCACAAATCCCTGAGCCTTGGGGTGTGCAAGGTGCAGGCTGGGAAATCCCTGCTCCTCCTTTTCCTGCCACTCTCATTCTGCTCCATGGCTTTGATCCCAGTGAACAGTTTTAGGAGCAGCTGGATGCACAATTAGCCAAAAATCTGTGGGTTTAATCTCTGCTGGGGAGAAAGGACATTGGGATGGATCCTCCCGTGAGCAAAGCCAGCCTGGAGAGGCTGGAATTGATCCTGTGCCCCAAACAGCTGACACAACAGGAGTGGCACTAATCCCCCATTAAAGATCTCTCCCTTGATGGGGCTCGCTGGGTAATTGACTTTCCAGCAGCAATTAGTGGCTCAAACCCAATCAGCAGGCATTAGGGAGCTGTGCACGAGCTGTTCACCTTCCTCATTCCCTGTCAGCCTCACAGCCAGATGATGCTGGGATTTTGGGGTGCTGCAGCAGCTCCAGAATTCCCAGGGGGTGCTTTTGGGGTGCTGGGACCTTTTCTCTCTGTGTGTTTGTGAAGGTGGATTTGGCTCTTCCCTTTTCCAGCACGTGCTGGACTGGGTTTCACAGGGTGAGTTGATGTTCTCAGGATGCCTGGATTTATTTTGGGATCATCCTGGCCTTCCATCCAGCTGGAGCTGCTGGTTTATTGGAGGTGCTGGAGCACCTCCAGAATTCCCAGGAGGTGCTTTTGGGGAGTTTTTTTTCCCCCTTTTCTCTCCTTGTGTTTGTCGAGGTGGATTTGGCTCTTCCCTTTTCCAGCACACCCTGGACTGGGACTTTATGGAGTTGGTGTTCTCAAAATTCCTGGATTTATTTCAGGATCATCCTGGCCTTCCATCCAGCTGGAGCTGCTGGTTTATTGGAGGTGCTGGAGCACCTCCAGAATTCCCAGGAGGTGCTTTTGGGGATTTTTTTTGCCCCTTTTCTCTCCTTGTGTTTGTCCCAGGTGGATTTGGCTCTTCCCTTTTCCAGCACGTGCTGGACTGGGTTTCACAGAGTGAGTTGATCTCAGAATTCCTGGATTTATTTTGGGATCATCCTGGCCTTCCATCCAGCTGGAGCTGCTGGTTTATTGGAGGTGCTGGAGCACCTCCAGAATTCCCAGGGGGGGCTTTTGGGGAGTTTTTTTTCCCCCTTTTCTCTCCTTGTGTTTGTCCCAGGTGGATTTGGCTCTTCCCTTTTCCAGCACGTGCTGGACTGGGTTTCACAGAGTGAGTTGATCTCAGAATTCCTGGTTTTATTTCAGGATCATCCTGGCCTTCCATCCAGCTGGAGCTGCTGGTTTATTTCAGAATTCAGAATTTATTTCTCCAGAATTCCCAGGAGGTGCTTTTTGGGGTGCTGGGACCTTTTCTCTCCTTGTGTTTGTCCAGGTGGATTTTGCTCTTCTCCTTTTTCCAGCACATGCTGGACCAGCACTTTACAGGGTTGTTCTCAGAATTCCTGGATTTATTTTGGGGTCATCCTGGCCTTCCATCCAGCTGGAGCTGCTGGTTTATTTGAGGTGGTAAAGCACCTCCAGAATTCCCAGGAGGTGCTTTTGGGGTTTTTTTTTGCACCTTTTCTCTCCATGTGTTTGTCCCAGGTGGATTTGGCTCTTCCCTTTTCCAGCACGTGCTGGACTGGGGTTGCACAGAGTGACTTGGTGTTCTCAGGATGCCTGGATTTATTTTGGGATCATCCAGCTGGAGCTGCTGGTTTCCATCCTTTAGAGACCATTCCAGCACGGTGATTCCCAAGTGGAATAGGGCTTAACCACATTAATCCTTTTAGGGAGCCTTAATCCAGCAAAGCTGAGCTTTCCGTTTCTCTCAGGGAAAATCTGAATCCTGCTGGAGTCAGGGCACCTGGGCTGGCCTGCAGCTTTCCAGGGGATGATTCCCCTCCTTCTGCTCCTGCCCTTCAGGGAGCACAGGGAGGATGGCCTGGAGGTCAGGAAGGAGGGTGACACTTCCACCAGGGGCTCTGGGATGTGCCCTTGGGAAAAAGGGACACGAGGGGGAAAATCAGCTCTGTAGGTGCTGGGTGTGATCCCAGCAGGGGCACAGAGGAGCTGAAATTCCCCTTCCCAGGGTGTGAAATCCCTCGTGGGGAAACTCCTAAAGAGTTTGGTGTTACAATTAAGGAGCAGGCAGAACTTTTCATTTTTTCAGTGTTCAGGTTGGTTGTTTCTTCTCTTCTCAACAATTCAGCACCCCCTCTATATACCAAACCTAGTGTGCAAAAAAAGCACCAAAAATCACAAAACACACAAGATGAGACTCTTTTAAAACTATTTTAATTAACTCTTAAACATTTTTACCAATAACTAATTATTTGTGTGTTTACACATCTTCATTTCAGCTCTTTCTAACCAATCCAACACTGCAGAAAATGGAGTAAATGAAGAACAAGGAGATCAAACAGCACCCAAAATCTTCCATCTTGTCTCCTATCCACCTCCACACTAAAAACCCAAAACCCTTTCAGTTTTTCACCCTGTGATACACTGGGTGTATAATAAAATTATATATAAAATTTATAATGTATTACATATGTTTATATATTATATAATATATATTATTATATATATTTATATATTATATAATATATTATCATATGTTATATATTATCATATATATGATGTATATTATATATAATATGTTTAAAATAGATATATAGCATAAATTATATAATATATATTATATATGATATATATTATATATAATTATGTTTCGATATATATAATATATAGCATATATTATATAATATATATTATGGTATATTATATATATAATATGTATAATTATGTTTAAGTGCTCTAATATATAGCATATATAATATAATATATTACATATTATCATATATATGATATATATATATAATTATGTTTAAGATATATATAATCTATAGCATATATTATATAATATATATTATCATATATATGATCTATACTGTATATATAATTATGTTTCAATATATATAATATACAGCCTATATATTATATATTTTTAATATCACATATAATATCAGTTATTAAATATCTGTTTATTTCACACACTCATAGATTCCAGTTCATCCCAGAGCTCAGAAGCTTTCTCCATAAGGAAGATGAAAAGCAGTGTTCTCCTCAGGATCAAACCTCAGACCAGACACAGAAATATTCCCTATACCCCAAATTCCAGCACCAGGAAACTGGGACAAACCACAAATCCTTCCTCACCACCTCAGGCTAAACCAGCAGCTGCTTTTCTGTGTGTTTGTGCCTAAAAATCCTGAAGCCCTGGAGCCTTCCCCTCACCCGGAGCTGTTCTTGCCTCCCCAGAACGGCGGCGCCAGCTGGAGCGACGACGGCGACGGCGGCCGGGGAAGGGAGATCTCCCGAGACTTTGCCAAGGTCTGTCTGGGAAATGGGGGCAGCTGGGCATTGGGGCTGTCCTGGCTGGGAAGGACGGGTGTCTGCTGAGGAAGGCAGGAGCCTCGCCTGAAATGGAAAATGTAAACCCCCTCCCTCTGAGTGGCTCTGAATTTTAAATTAAGGGGCTCTCAGGAAAAAATATGGGAGCAGGAATGACAGTTCTTTACTAGGGAAGGAAATAAAAATTCCTGGGGATCCATTCCATTTCTGGGCATCTTTTTCATTTTTCTTTTCCATCTCTGGGGATCCCATTCCATTCCTGGGGATCCATTCCATTTCTGGGCATCTTTTTCATTTTTCTTTTCCATCTCTGGGGATCCCATTCCATTCCTGGGGATCCATTCCATTTCTGGGCACCTTTTTCATTTTCATTTTTCTTTTCCATTTCTGGGGATCCATTCCAGCTCTGGGAATCCCATTCCAGCTCTGGGGATCCATTCCATTTCTGAGGATCTTTTCCATTTCTGGGAATCCTTTCAATTTCTGGGGATCCATTCCTGTGCATCCATTCCATTTCTGTGCATCCTTTCCATTTTTGGGAATCCCATTCCATCTCTGGGAATCCTTTCCATTTCAGGGGATCTTTTCCATTTTCATTTTTCTGTTTCTGGGGATCCATTCCGTTCCTGGGGATCTTTTCCATCTCTGTGCATCCTTTCCATCTCTGTGCATCCTTCCATTTCTGTGGCTCCTTTCCATCCCTGGGGATCCATTCCTGTGCATCATTTCCATTTCTGTGCATCCTTTCCATCTCTGGGAATCCTTTCAATTTCTGGGGGTCCATCCCTGTGCATCCTTTCCATCCCTGTGCATCCTTTCCATCCCTGTGCATCCTTTCCATCCCTGTGCATCCTTTCCATCCCTGTGCATCCTTTCCATCCCTGTGGCTCCCTTCCATCCCTGTGCATCCTTTCCATCCCTGTGCATCCTTTCCATCCCTGTGCATCCTTTCCATCCCTGTGCATCCTTTCCATCCCTGTGCATCCTTTCCATCCCTGTGGCTCCCTTCCATCCCTGTGCATCCTTTCCATCCCTGTGGCTCCCTTCCATCCCTGGGCATCCATCCCAGCCATGACCCCCGAGCCCTGTCCCCTGTCCATGTCCCCCTGGCTGTGCTGCCCCTCCCCTGGAAGCATCCAGAACTCTGGAATTGTGTCTCCCTGGGGCTGGGGGCTCACTGTGCTCTGTCCCCAGCTGTACGAGCTGGACAGCGACCCCGAGCGGAAGGAGTTCCTGGATGACCTCTTCATCTTCATGCAGAAAAGGGGTGAGTGACCTTTCCTGGGGCTGCAGGAGGGGGATTGCTGCTGCTGGGGCTGGGAAACAAATCCTGGACTTTGGGGCATTTCCCTTGGTGTTTGAGCACAGCAGTAGGGTACATCTGCCCTGTAAATTAAATTAATTTAAATACATTTAAAACAAGAAATTTAAATGAATTAATTAATTAATTTAAATTAAATTAAATTCACCTCCAATTTCTTCGCTTTCTGATGTAGTGCTGGTGTTGTCCGCGCCCTGAAGATCCCAGGAACCTTTCCCTGGAATTTCCAGGGTGTCAATGATCCCAATCCAGTGCTCAGAGCAGACTGGTGATAATTAAAATGTGTTTAATTGGGGTGTTGGGTAACAGATGCACCTCGGAACATTTGGGGTGCCCTCTTGTCCCTCTGTGGGTGTCAGTGGCCCAGGGAGGGCTCTGCTGGCCCCTGAGGTGTCAGTGGCACAGAGCAGAGTGTTTCTAAAATCCCAGTCCTAGACTCAAGAGTTCCCAAAAACCCCCAAATCCAGCTCCTCTCCTGGGTGCAAAGTGTTTTTAAAATCCCAGTCCCTGTCTGAAGAACTGCTGTGTTCCCCAAAAACCCCAAATCCAGCTCTCCTGAGAGCAAAGTATTTCTGACATCCCAATCCAGGGCTGAAGAGCCGCCTGGTTCCTAAAAAAAACCCCAAATCCAGCTCCTCTCCTGAGAGCAAAGTATTTTTAAAATTCCAGTCCTGGCCTGAAGAGCTGCCTTGTTTCCAAAAACCCCAAATCTGTCTCTTCTGAGAGAAAAGTATTTCTGACATCCCAATCCAGGGCTGAAGAGCCACCTGGTTCCTAAAAAAAACCCCAAATCTGGATCAACTGAGAGCAGAGTGTTTCTGACATCCCAATACCAGACTCAAGAGCTGCCTTGTTCCCAGAAAAACCCCAAATCCAGCTCTCCTGAGAGCAGAGTGTTTCTGACATCTCCCAGTCCCTGTCTGAAGAACTGCTGTGTTCCCCAAAAACCCCAAATCCAGCTCTCCTGAGAGCAAAGTATTTCTGACATCCCAATCCAGGGCTGAAGAGCCGCCTGGTTCCTAAAAAAAACCCCAAATCCAGCTCCTCTCCTGAGAGCAAAGTATTTTTAAAATTCCAGTCCTGGCCTGAAGAGCTGCCTTGTTTCCAAAAACCCCAAATCTGTCTCTTCTGAGAGAAAAGTATTTCTGACATCCCAATCCCATTCCCAAGAGCTGCCTGGTTCCCAAAAATCCCCAAATCTGCCTCTCCTGAGAGCAGAGTGTTTCTGACATCCCAGTCTCAGACTCAAGAGCTGCCTGGTTCCCAAAAACCCCAGATCTGTCACTCCTGAGAGCAGAGTGTTTCTGACATCCCAATACCAGACTCAAGAGCTTCTTGGTTCCCAAAAAACCCCAAATCCAGCTCTCCTGAGAGCAGAGTGTTTCTGACATCCCAGTCCCATTCCCAAGAGCTGCCTTGTTCCAAAAAAAACCCCAAATCCAGCTCTCCTGAGAGCAGAGTGTTTCTGACATCCCAGTCCCATTCCCAAGAGCTGCCTGGTTCCCAAAAACCCCAAATCTGGCTCTCCTGAGAGCAGAGTGTTTCTGACATCCCAGTCCCATTCCCAAGAGCTGCCTTGTTCCAAAAAAAACCCCAAATCCAGCTCTTCCCCTTTGAGCACAGTGTGAAGCACTGCTCCATTTGCCCCTGGAGTCTGTGGGGTCAGGCAGCAGCTCTGCCAATAAAAATCCCACTGTAAAAACCTAAAAGCAGGGATTTGCTGCTGTCAGGGGGAGCAGAAAGTGCAAAGATGAATGGGATTTCACGGGAGCTGCAGGGATGAAAAGGCTGGGAAGTTTTGGGATGCCCCTGGGAAGGGACAGCCGTGGAGCAGCTCTAACACAGGTCAGATGTGCAGGGCTGTCCCCAAGGGCCATAAAAGGGCCCTGGAGCAGCAGAAAGCGTGGAAGAGGAGCAGAGGGAGCCTGGGACTGGCCTTTGTGGGGTTTTGTTCGGCCTTTGTGGGGTTTTGTTCCTGGGAGGCTGGAACTGGCCTCTGTGGGGTTTTGTTCGGCCTCTGTGGGGTTTTGTTCGGCCTCTGTGGGGTTTTGTTCCTGGGAGCCTGGAACTGGCCTCTGTGGGGTTTTGTTCCTGGGAGGGGCAGGTGGGCACAGGGAGGATAGCGGGGCTGGGGGTGATGCCTTGTGAAGGCTGAGCTAGAACTGAGACTAGACTGAGCTCAGGAATAAAGCAGGGATTTATTACAAGGATCTCCTCAGCCTTGGGCAGCACAAGAGCCCAGCCAGGGCTGCACCCAAGATGAACCAAAATGGTCCCAAAATGGACACCTGGTCATGGGGTCTCTCACTTTTATGAGTTTTGGGCCATTTGCATATTGGAGTTAATTGTCTAATTACAGCTTCAGGTTATGAATCCCATCCTGCTTGCTTTTCTCTCTTCAGTCAGAGATTGCAGCTCTCCCTAAAACACAGTCAGGGGTTGCAGCTCCCCATGGGATCAGGGCAGGATCAGGGACTGCAGCTCCCATGGGATCAGGGACTGCAGCTCCCCATGGGACCAGGGACTGCAGCTCCCCATGGGATCAGGGACTGCAGCTCCCCATGGGATCAGGGACTGCAGCTCCCCATGGGATCCCAGGATCAGGGACTGCAGCTCCCCATGGGATCCCAGGATCAGGGATTGCAGCTCTCCCTAAAACACAATCAGAGACTGCAGCTCCCCATGGGATCTCCATTCCAGGGCTTGCAGCTCTCCCTGGGGTCCCTGTTCCTTTTTATCCCAACTCCAGAGAACCACACCCCATAAATGTCAGGCTGCACCCCTGACCCAGCCAGGATTTCTCCTTGGAGAGGGATTTGAGCAAACCAGGAGCTGAGACAGCGCAGGGGTGGAGGTGATTTGCTGCTGTAAAATGAATTTTCCCTCTGCTCAGCTGGGAATTCCCACACCCCACGGAATTACTGTGCCTCCCTTCAAAGATAAATCAGGAAATTCTGTTTTTCTTGAGATTTGGCTCAGTATTATTTTAAATCACTGTGGATTTTCCCAGTTTCCTGGGGAAAACCTGTTCCTTCTGGCTGCCTGATACAGCATCTCCCCTGAACATATTTGGAGTGGGAGGAGCAGCTTTTTATTTACCTGCTCCAGGTTGTGGCTTAAAAATGTCTTTTCTGTGCCTATTTTTCACTCCAGTGGGAGTGAAAAAAATCCAATTTTAGTGGGATTTCAAGGCCTCTGTGCTGAACAAACCCTGGGGATTCTCACCTCCTTTGTTCCTTGCTGTAAAATGGACACTTGTGCGAGGAAATTGGATAGGGTAGGTGGGAGGTGATTTAAAAAGCAGGGCTGGCTGTGATTAAATGCTCTTTGTGCAGGACAAGTCGTGGCTTAGGCTGCTGGAAATCCCAGTGTGGAAGGGAATCTCTGGCATGGAGGCCAAGGAAAGCCATAAAATTCCCTGGAATTCACCTCAAACCCACCTTTGGGGCAGTTCTCCTCAGTCTGCATCTCCAGGTCTGCCTGCCAGGCCTGGCCAGGGGAGGGAGAGGATGGTCCCAGTTAATCCCTCAGCCAAGGCTGTGCCAAAGCCCCTTGCCCAGGTGATTCCCAGGTGTATCAGGGGAATCAGCCCGATACACCTGGGAATCAGGTGCTCAGGGGCAGTTCTCCTCAGTGTGCATCTCCAGGTCTGCCTGCCAGGCCTGGCCAGGGGAGGGAGAGGATGGTCCCAGTTAATCCCTCAGCCAAGGCTGTGCCAAAGCCCCTTGCCCAGGTGATTCCCAGGTGTAATCCCAGCCTTTCCAGGGGCTCAGCCCCTCCAGGAGCTCCAGCATGGGACAGAGGGGACACTGAGGTCCCTGTGGGATAACCCCTGGGGCTCCCTGGGACACAGGGGACTGTACTGACTGACTGATGACACTTGGTTAACCAACAATTGTGCTTTTTTATATTTAGTTCGAGGCACCTCCTTTTTCTTCAAGATTTATCTTTAAGACATCTCAGCCCTGGAGGCTGCAGAATTCCATCTTCAAGGGGGACATGATTTAAGCTGCAGTGTGCTAACATCAATAGGGCATCACTAAGAAACTGTCATCAGTCATCAGATGTGATTTTTAGGGTAACACAACATTATTTTGCTAAGGACATCCTGAATTTTTGCTAGTTGTAGGGGCCAAATCAGATCTATCTACTGCAGTTGAAGAGCTTGGAGACATTCCCTCAAAATCCAGAGATGTGTGTGGCCCTCCTGTGGGAAGCCCTTTATTCCAGAAACCCAGATTGTGGCTGCCTTACAATTAGTTAATCAACAATTGTGCTTTTTTGTAGTTTTCTTCAAGGCACCTCCTTTTTCTTCAAGATTTTCCAGTTCCCCAGTTGCTGTTTAACCCCTCTGATGGTTGTTTCTTTTTTAAAGAAGTTTTGGGGCAAGTGCCCATTAAGGGGAGGTGATCTGGGCACCTGTGGGTGCACCCCCACTTTGTCCCACGTTCCTCTCTAGGCAGGTGCTAATTATTAATTAGCATAATTGAGAAACTGTCATCACTTTCCAGATGTGATTTTTAGGGTAATGCAGGATTGTTTTGCTGAGGACATCCTGAATTTTTGCTAGTTGTAGGGGCCAGATCAGATATATCTACTGCAGTTCAAGAGCTTAGGAAGGGGAAAAGGCTTTTCAAGGGAAATTTAGGTTGGATATCAGAAAAAAGTTTTTTCAGAAAGGTGATAAAGTTCTGGAATGTTCTGCCCAGGGTGGTGCTGCAGTCCCCATCCCTGGGTGTGTTTAACAAAGCCTGGATGTGGCACTGGGTGCCAGGGTTGAGCTGTTGGGGCTGGGCTGGACTCTGTGATCTTGGAGGTCTCTTCCACCCTGGTGATTCTGGGGATTCTGTGGGAGACATTCCCTCAAAGGCCACAGATGTTTATGGCTGCAGTCAGTTCCTCTGGAAAGCCCTTATCCCAGAACCTGGAATGTGGCTGCCTTTCTG